ATATATATATATATATATATATATATATATATATATATATTAAAATAAACTACTATTTACTACTTGTATTAGTATTCCTACTTCATGGTTTTTCACTTATCGCGGGGCTTCAGGGTACGGATCTCCTGCGATAAACGAGGGACTACTGTATTTACATTCGGCCATATATCACATGTATGTGCACACATTAATGCACATCACATCAAACACACATTCAGCCAGACTGATGACGTTTCATCAGTTTGAACAAGAAGCAGGAACGAGTGCAGGTGACAGGAAATAAAACAGAAGCAAAGAAAAAGGGAAAGAGAAGTTCAAGAGCAACAGAACTTAGTGGAAATGAAGAGTGGAAGCAAAAATACCTTCTGAGGAACAGTTCCTGATACAAGCATTCTGCAGAACATAGAACATCTCACGGAAAGACCTGGGACCTTCCAGGCATGAAGCATTAAAGAGGAAGAGGAGAGAAAGAGGAAGAAAGAACAGACAGGCTTAAAGGAGGCGGGAATAAAACAGAAGAAGAAGAACTACTGACAGAACGTCTGCTGCCAGGCTGTGTGACGAAACATCACAGGACATGTTTTACTAGCTAATTACTAATAATTAATAATTGGATATTTAGTTTATTACAACCTAAATGACCAAGGAGGACACAGATGTAAATAATTCATGACATGATTTCTGAGTTTTTGTCAGCGATTTGTGCAGAATTAATAAAAGTTTATCCACCACAAGTAATCAGATTACTCACTGGGAAGACTGCTGATTCATAACTTTTTGCACAGTCAGTACAAACTTATTATTAGAAGAACAAACCAACAAAATGTGGCAGTTGTGGCTCAGGTGGCGCAGGGCTGTTCAACTGGTGGCCCGGGGGCCAAATCAGGCCCATGGGTGAGCTCAGTTCGGCCCATTAATGTGTTCATTTTTGAATAAAACCAGATTTTAAAGCATAGAACAAACTTAATGACGATAACTGCTGGATGTCCGGCCCCTGAGCTCTTGGCGTTCAGTAACGGTGGCCCCCTGAGTAATTGTTGGACTGATCTATACTATGTGCCGTGAATATAAAATATAAGCTCTGTGTGTGTATTTGTCAGAATATACTATTTTTATACTTGTGGTTTATAACTACGTACTCAAGGGGGATGTATATGTGAAAATAATACCACGATGCAAAAGCACTGAAACTTGTTTGACAGATTTGATAAGATGAAGTACTTGATGCACCCAAACATAATCAGCAAGTGAAATAAATGTGTCATTTATGTTTTAACAGTTCACAATTAGCATTTCACTGTTAGATGGTGACGGAGACAAAACATCTGAGCTGAATCTCACATGCACCAACAGGGTCACACAACCTGAGAGCGGTCTCACCTGTGATATCGAACCACACAGGGACCGTGTTCTGTTGCAGAGAAACCACACCCACAACCTCAGCCATCTTATCGTTCTCCATGATGGTAAAGTTATAGAACGGCTCATCGAAACGCAAGGGCAGAGTCAACGGAGGTGATCGGCGAATCCACTCAATGTGCAGGCGAGCTGTTGAGGACTTCTGAGGGCGTCCGTTGTCTGATGCTTTGATCTGAACACGAATGCACCGAAACACCAAGATTAAGGACATAATGTACATTTCTATAACGATGACACGTTGCACTTCGACAGGGATCGTTCAGGTAATTAACACTGTTCCTTGGAAAAACAGGACCTTTTGTAAACCCACAGCTTTTCTTGGCTGGTAACCCAACCAGGTCTTTATTACAGATCTCTTTCATGGACAATAAGAAAATGCTAAATGTAAAACAGTTACCATTGAATCTTATAAAGATTTTGCATCCATCGAATTCTCAAAGTCTGCAAAGGGGAACATGCGCCTCAAACTGTGCCTTCAACCCAACAGAATCTCTCTCTCGTGTTGATATTCACCCACATTTAAATGAAGTTTTCTGCATAAATTTAGTGGGAAAACTATCCACACTGCTGTAGCAGTTATGTAGCTGTTGAATTGTTCTATAATCATACAGTTTTGTACTTTGAATGTGAAACAGCAACTAGATTTATTGCCCTTATTTTACAATTACTTTGTAGATACAACTATTTCTGACATTAACTCACTCCCATTGAAATAGGGCATGAATTACCGTATTTTTCGCCCTATAAGTCACAGTTTTT